TGCGCCGCCTGCCACAAGCCAATCGCCGGCAAGGTGAGCCCACGCGGGCAGCCCTTTCCCCTGGGCATCCCAGGAGCTGCCCTCACACCTCTCTGCCTCCTCACAGGTGCTCACAGCCCTGGGCAAGACCTGGCACCCCGAGCACTTCACCTGTGCCCGCTGCGGGCAGGAGATGGATAACCAGCCCTTCTTTGAGCGGGGCGGGCAGGCATACTGCGAGGAGGACTACCACCAGGCCTTCTCCCCCCGCTGTGCCTACTGTGCCGGCCCCATCCGGGAGGTAAGTCCTCCACGGCCTCACACCACCCACTGCCACCACCAGCCACCTCACCTTGCCTTTTCCTGCAGAAAGTCCTGACAGCCCTGGACCAGACCTGGCACCCTGAGCACTTCTTCTGTGCCCACTGCGGGAAGGTGTTTGGAGACGATGGTATGGCCCAGGGGACAGATGTTTGGGTCTTGCCCCCATCCCGGGTATTCCCTACCCATGCACCTATTTTCTCATCCTGGGCATCCTTTCCCTTGCCTCCTGACTCGAGCAAACCCCCGTCCATTCCACACTGCCCCCACCATGAGCTTCCTTCAGGTGGGTGCCCTTCCCAATTCTCGCCCCACAGGATTCCATGAGCGGAATGGGAAGCCGTACTGCCGCCAGGACTTCCTGGACATGTTTGCCCCCAAATGCCACGGCTGTGAGCGCCTGGTCACAGACAATTACTTGTCGGCGCTGCAGAGCGTGTGGCACCCCGAGTGCTTTGTGTGCACGGTGAGTGGGCAGTGGGCTGGCAGGGACAGTGGGATGGGCACATCCCTGGGGCCATGCCAACCTTCCCCATCTCCTTCCCCCAGGAATGCATGAGGGGCTTCACGGGTGGCTCCTTCTTCGAGTTGGAGGGTCGACCCTACTGCGAGCTGCACTTCCACCAGCGGCAGGGCAGCATCCCGCCCCGTGACCGGGCGCGGCATCACGGCCGCAGGGCGCAAGTACCACCCCGAGCACTTCATCTGCACCTACTGCCTGGGCCGCCTGCAGAAGGGCACTGTCCGCGAGTGTGGCGACAAGATGTACTGCCAGGCCTGCTACGACAAGCTCTTCCTCTGAGCCCCGGCGCACAGCCACCCTACCTGGACGTCCCCAGCACCATCCCCACCACCA